GTACCCCTTCTCCCCCAGAATTCTCTGTGCCAGCGACAGACCAGTTTCTCAATATCATGAAGGCTGGTTGTGAATCCAGACTACTGCATAGAGTTCCTCCGGGCCTTGAGAGTGGTGTTAGATACATGGTCTTTCCTTTAGGAACCTAACTGACCCACACCAATCCTACCTCTTCTCCTCCTTCTCTTCATCATCCTCCCCCTCCTAACACTGGCCCCCCTAAGAAGAAGATCATACTCCTCGCTGGAGATACTTTGAGCGACTGGAAATAGAAAAACCCGGGTAAACAGACAGTTTTCAAAGTCGCTATAAAGGGTGGTCGCAAGATTGATGCTGTATTACACTCAATCGAGCAATTTGTGAGAGACCACCCTGATGTAGAGATTAAGAAACTGTTTGTGTGTGTAGGGACTAACGACATTCGATACTGTCAGACTGGCATATTACACCTTAAAAGCCCTCTGCAGAACTTTCAACTTTATGTCCAAAATTAAAACCTTAGCTCCCTCAGCAAATATCTTTGTCCAGTCCCTCCTCCCTATACCTGCTAATGGTAACCCCAAAGGAGAACAAAATGTGGTCTCTATGAACAAATTACTCTTTAGACTTTGTTCCAAATTTAAATTATTTTACCTTGATGTCTTTAGTAGTTTCCTTAGTTCATGGGGCGACAGGAACTACCAGTTATTTCCTAAGTATAGTCTATACTCGAAGAAGTGGGATATTCACCCCAATGATAGGGGTATGGGTGTGTTAGCAAGACACTATATCTTTCTCATTCACTCAACATGGTTTAATCTGTTGGGTTACCGAGATCGGTATAAGTATGATTCATATTTTTTTAGATAAATTATTTAAATGATGTATTAAAAAGTAAATTCTGAGTTATAGATACACCTGGGTAAAACACGACCGTGACATTGCTACACATGGGAATAAATGACCAGCAACACTGCATATGAACCGGGAAGTTTAATTCTGTTGCTCGATAAGTTTGTGGTAAAAGAGAAAAGTCTGCTACGTGTCTGTGTTGTCCAAGTTATGTTCATCCATTGGATTATTTGTCAGTTCACTAATTGTAGATATTATACTAACCTACATAAGTTAAATTGTCTCGCAGTCTCGTGCGTAAACGAGGATTTGATTAGGAAAACTTATACGAAGGAGATATAGGTCATGAATTAATATGATAATGAATATATTGCACGTCCTCTTAATTTAGGTAACACGACATCTGTCCGACAGTACTATTTTCTTGTGTTTGAAGTGATGTCTCAAATTTGGCACATAGAAACTCGCTCAAACTTACACAGATTATCCGTCCTAAAACCACCATACTTTATGGAAAGTTTCAAGAAAATCGTACAGTAGGATACGAATAAACTACTGTCCGAATAACCTATTTTCTGAGTCGGACAGATGCCGCCTAATCAGTTTAATGTGGTTACCGTCTCTAAAGTTGACACGAGAGTTATTAGTTTCCTACCTAATATTATTCGAAGTCAATCCTGTAAACTGATACTCCTTTTTTAGTAATTTATACATGTGTTGTCTCCTTCTGATTTCCAGACTATTACCGGTCACGCTAAATTATAATGACATCAATGTGTCTAAAGAAATCGTTGGCATCACTCAGTAAACTGCGCGTCTTTGGCGCGTGTCTTGTTGGAATGCATCAATCCGTATAGTATGCAGATCCGTATAGTATGCAGATCGGCGAGATGCGAAGGATTGACATCGTGAATCAAGTCGCCCGCTACTGCAAGCGAGAGGGCTCTTAGATCTGGTTAGAGGAAGTTTATAACCTACTTGTCATACGTTGTATGACCCGTCGCGTACGAGTGCGCGGCTCCCCCTGTATCGTCGAAACTCTACACTATAGTGAAGCGACAGTGGGGTCACCACGTGATACAATAACCTACCAGGACGCGCGCCGAGTTGGACTTGTCGAACAAATATTTTACGAGTATCACCCGTTAACCTAGCTGCTAGCGACGACGTGTTTAAAAAGTCGCGTGACCAGTGACAGTCGAGTGTAGAGTGATTAATCTGTCATCATCCGGTTTTATTCGAAATCAGCGTAAAAAATTAATTGGTATAGCTTACTTTCACAATCCCACAGCTCACTCATATATAAAGATTTGGGAGCATAAGTATTTTACATTAACAACTTAACCTAAAAGTGCAGTGGTAGATTTTAAATAAAATGTTCTTCAAATTACAAATTAAGAGTTGTTTCATCAAAAGATTATATAACGGGTGATACTCGTAAAATATTTGTTCCATATAGTAAGGGGAAAAGTGGCATTCCGTTGGATTTGAATGTTCACAAGGATTTCTCAACGGAATATGGTAGTTAGGACCCCTACGAACATAATTAGACTTGTTGCCAATTTTGTATCTCAACAGAAACACCACTTTTACCACTTTTTACCACCTTTGTACCACCTTTCTGGTTTGCCAAATATCTTTAGTTGTGAACGTAATAGAAGGCTGCAAATTAACCTAGAATGTTTATCTTATCAAGGAGTAAAACTTTTGTATGAAAAATTTTGACATTTGACAATCAGCTAATTGGATAATTACCAATTAGTTAATCACCAAAAAAAGTGAAAATTTTTTATTGGCTCAAAATGATTGAAATCGTTTGAAACACGGAGAAATGTAGTTTTTAGAAAAACTTCAAAAATTGTTCACTTAAAAATTTTTTTCGAGACTTGGAAAACAGTCTGCGACAGTAAAACGCCGACGAAGCTAGACTTAGAGTGAACTGATGGAAGCTGGGTGGTGCTAAAATGGAGGTAGCAGAACGTACTACATGATGAAAACAGGAAAACTAAGGCTGGTTGAGACCTAAAAAGATGTGAATCTGTCCTGATAGATCCAGTGAAGAGCGAGTTGCGAAGAGTTTGATCACTAACCTAAAGCTCTAAAGAAGAAGAGGGCTAAAGAGACTCACTTTGACCAATAAATCCGGTACGGCAAGGTCTGTAGCCTTGATAAGAAGATACCATGAAGTAATTCATGCGGTAAAGTCGATTTATATAAAGGGTTTCGTTGGATCTAAAAAGGGTGGGTCAGTCTCTCTGTTTTCATCAGATTCTGATGAAAGGCTGTTAAGCTCAGGACGCGGACGGTGATCTTAATAGGTCGGATAGCTGTACCTGGTTGCTTTCAACCCACCCTTGTCGCTTGAAAATAAGTTCTCACTCCACCTCTTCCAAAAATGCAGTTACCAGAGCAGGACACTCTTCTTCCTCCTCTTCTTTCAACCCAAACACAATCAGGTTCCAGCTCCTCTCCTCCTCTGCAGTCACAATCTTATCTCCTTCTTCGGCGTTTTACTGTTGCAGACTGTATCACTTGCACTGTTCTTTTGCAGTACTCCTGCACTGTAGCTCTGTGTCCCTGACTACACCGTGGTTTACACTACCCCTCAACTGCAATCTTAAGTAACTTTAGTTCCGGCACTCTTTGGCCATTAAAATAACCAACTCCAATGAAACCCCGTGTAGCTACGTTCGTCGTTCTGCTACATCCATGCTAGCACCACCCAGCTACCACCAGTTTACTCTAAATCTAGCTATTTCTAGCAACCTCTCGATGCTATCTCCAGCTCTATCCCGACCCTGGCAATGAGATAGGGGGGTTATTTGAGGTATCTGGCATAGCAAACGAAGCGGCATGCGCATTCACAATACAAAAAAGCCACAGTGGATGATGAAAGGTATATTTACACTCTCTTCCTATACTCCCCTATAATACCGGGCCTCCTGCGAGAGTGACAAAAAGTGCACAGTTAAAAGAAATCCCTGTGAGAAATCGCATTTCTTGCATAACTGGGTCTAATTATAGAGGTAAATAAGAGGTCCGGTACATTCAGATACCCGGTATAGATTGGCAAGATTGACGGTACAGAGGTTTTGATCATTGAAATCAATAAAATGATAGTACAGCAGGTAAAATCGGTTCGATCTTAAATGGTCCTTTTGTGCTGTTTCTTTATGTGGAATTTGATAAAGCTGTATTGTAATTAGTTATGAAACTCTAATATTGTGTGGTTAACCTTTTTCAGGTTCAGCCCTTTCCGCTAAGCTATTCCTAATTACTAAAATATCAAATATGTCGAGATTTACTGAACTCCAACTTCAAATATTGATGATTTTAGTATTCCCCAATCTAAAAATCTTCGAAGTTTTTCTGCAAAGCATTTTTATCCACGTTTCATGCAATTCGATCACTTTTGGCGGAAAAAAATATTTTAAAATTTTCAAACTGTTTTCCAAGTCTCGAAAAAAATTTTTAAGTGAACAATTTTTGAAGTTTTTCTAAAAACTACATTTCTCCGTGTTTCAAACGATTTCAATCATTTTGAGCCAATAAAAATTTTCACTTTTTTTGGTGATTAACTAATTGGTAATTATCCAATTAGCTGATTGTCAAATGTCAAAATTTTTCATACAAAAGTTATACTCCTTGATAAGATAAACATTCTAGGTTAATTTGCAGCCTTCTATTACGTTCACAACTAAAGATATTTGGCAAACCAGAAAGGTGGTACAAAGGTGGTAAAAAGTGGTAAAAGTGGTGTTTCTGTTGAGATACAAAATTGGCAACAAGTCTAATTATGTTCGTAGGGGTCCTAACTACCATATATTCCGTTGAGAAATCCTTGTGAACATTCAAATCCAACGGAACCCTTAAATCGACCAATTTTCCCCTTACTAATATATTATGGACCGTCGATGAGTCCAACTCGGCGCGTGTCCTGGTAGGTTGTAAACCTACAAAAAAGAGCGTTAAATCACTCTACATTTGAACTTCGGAATTTTTCATAAAGAAACTGACGCTCACAGTAATCAGCTATTTTTTTGTATCACTATCACGTCGTGACCCCCATTGTCGTTTCACTTATTGGAAGTCACGATACAGCCGCACACTCGGCAGGCCGCACACGCGGCAGGCCTACAAGTACAACGTGAGGCAACTATTTTGTATTTGAAATCAAGTAATAGAATGGCATCATTTGAATGAATTATACAAATTTTGCAATCAATAAATAGTAACATTAGGGGGATAATAAAGAGGAAAAGTTAGATCAAATATAATGTAAGATAAATTCAAAAACTGTTTCGTCTGTTTCAGTCACAAAATACACCATTTTAATCATACTTTAATCACTACCAAAGCTATGAGTACACGTCATCTGAATATCATACACTACTAGCAGGGTAAGTTTGCAAGGGACAAACAAATTGTAGTTTAATTCACTAAAATCTAAGCTTCTAATAGGTTAAGATTGTTGGCATACGATTCAATTTTCTGATCGGTCTACCGTCTATAGCTGATTTTAGAAATCCAGAAAGATTAAACAAAAATAGTCAAAAATACCATGTAGAGTGACTAGGTTTTACTAATATTAATATTATGTGAAATTGATAAACGCGTGCGCTATTCTAAGAATCAATATCATTCTGAAGCTTCAAATGGGCCTGTTAGGAATCCACGACACTCACGATAAGAGGTGCTATATGAAATTATTGGCTTAAATCAAGTTCACTAAAACTGAAAACATTGTTCGATCATGGCATGATATTCCAACCGAGCACTTTCTATCTGAGACAGTTTGTTGAACAACCCTCTTATTTCTTATGTCTTTATATCCTGGTTGCCCTACTTCTCGTTTTCCTAAGATTCTTCCCGCTGAGGTGCTCCTGAATGAGCTTGGTCCGGGAGCGAGTGATCTTAGTCTCGGTGTCCGGTGTGTCCGGGACGACGTCCCTTAGTCCAGGCCGCTCCGGCGGAGGGATCAGCTCCGGTGTACTGATCTGAGATTTGTGGAGCTTTCGTTTGCCTCTTTTTGGCTCAGGTTGTGAAGGTGTTGCGAAGTCGCTGTCACTTTCTGATACGGAGATAGGAGCAGCTTTTCCTGGAAATGTCCAGTGTTAAAAGAACAATATAAGTACATTGTACATGATAACCGCCTCCTTCAAGATTAAAATCTAAATTAGTATAGTCCACCTGAATCAAACTGTAACCACTATCACGTATTTAAAAATTACTATCCCTGACAGAAAAATGGAAATAAGAATCGATCAATTATTTACCGTAATTAAAACTATACAAAATTCATAATTAAGTTATTACCTCGCTTGGATTGTCTGGGCGATGAACCAGTAAGCAAATCTTTCAATCCTTTTAAAGTAGCTTTTCTCTTCACACCGACGGATCCTGGAGTCTGTAAAATCGAGAATTTAGTTTCTCCGAAAATGGCCTGTTACACAAATTTACAAGAACTGTGAAGGCTGGAGGACTTGGTTCAAGATCTTGATGTAAGCTCTCCCATCCTTGATTACCCCTCCAGACTCCTCCGACTGATCCATATTCCATAATCCATAAATTTTTGTAAAGAATGATCAGATATACATGAACTGACAGGTATCATCAATTTGAGTATCACCAATTTAAATCCGTCAAATACTTTCAATTACTTACAGCAAAGTTATCGGACGATGGTGACTCCTCTATGGGCTGAATGCGACTCTTCTTCGACCTAAGTAATATCTATCGTTCAAAAAAATAACATTTTAAAGACACTCGCGAAATTAAATGACTTAGATGACAAGTACCGAAAGTTAGTAAATTAATATTTATTTCTACCTATATACCTTACTCGGGAATATTATAGCGGGTTAATTTATGACTGGGAAAATTAATAACCGGGAAAAATATGGCGGAATTTCCCAAAACCCGCCAAATTATCCCGGTCATGTATTTACCGGTGGCCGACCTTTCAAGTTTTTTTTCAGAGGTCAACAAATTTTCAACCGAAATTTCTGTTTTTGTTACTTGTTATAAAGAAGTTATTTCAATTTACAGTTACTGATATTACTTAGAAATAGAAAAAAAGACACGTCTAGTATTTAAAGGAAAATAAATCTATAGCAATAATAAGTCAAATCTTCATTAAAGCGTATTCTCATTCTCATTATCGCTAATGTCCCCTCCATTATCATTATTAATACCGTCAAATTCGAATTTGTATTGTTGTCTTAACAAGACTTTCATTTTGTCCGCTAATGGGGCTACTGCTCTGAAGGTCAGCTGGAGCTTAATTTCCTGCCCACCGCTTGGTATTGGGGAACGTCTTGGCTTTGCATCTTCAACTGCTCCAGTAATCAATCCACCGTGGACCATGAAATAGTGGCACAGTTTACTCACTTCATGGGCAAGAAAAGTCAGAATCACGGTCCAGCCTGAAATCTGATTTCTATAACCAAATTGTGATTTTTATAACGAAATTATGGTAGCAACCGCCAATAAAGTTACAGCCCTCCATCCACTGCTTCAAAAGTCTTCTCTAGCACATATGAGACTTCAGGTAAAATATGATGATCACCACCCCCTTGGAACCCCATAATCTGAGTCGGCGGGTTTTTTTATGACTGGTAAAAATTTTGACCGGGAAAAATATGGCGGAATCTTCCAAAACCCACCACTTTATCCCGGTTATAATAATCCCGAGTAAGGTACTACTAATGAAACCAATTAATTCTAACCAAATGAACCTGTTGGTATTGAGAGTTTTATTGATGAGCACTTGAGAGGTCCGTCTAGAAGCTGTCTTAACAACCGGTCTTTTGCCGCTTGTTCTGCTACCACCAACATTTGATCCTGACCTGCGTTGACCTGACGACCGTCTGAAATACAAGGTCAGGAAAATATGTCTCCAAATATACTGATTAATTGTAAGCGAATTTTTAATAGCTATCAAATTTTCTTGATATTCCTATCGTTTCATTATAAGTACTACATAAATTATCTTATCCATTTTTCTCAAAACAGCTTCAAAACCTTAATTTAAAAACAGTCATTCTGGCAAAATGTTCCAAAAGCGAATTTGAAGTGGTAATTAATTTGTACTTGTAGACACCTGGACTGACACGAACACATTGAGAAGGGAACCAACCTGGAATGGTTTAGAGCGGATGTTCGAGATGAGGGTTTGTTTGATATCCTATTGGAACTTCTCGAAGATTGAGTTGATTCTCTGCCTCCCTGTAAATTATACATACATTATCTTTACTTTTAAGCTTTAGGTTGAAAAGACTAAATCGCATGCAATGTTAAGAACATTTGTGCGAATGTTACGTAAAAATAACATTGGGTTGGGAAATGTTTTGAAAAATGCATAATCCCCACAATTATGTGTACAAATACAATGCAAATGCGCTAAAGAGATACGTCATCAGCAATAATTGACAGTTGCAATGCTTTAACAGTTTGCATGATTCTTCAGCTAAAAATGCAGCATACGTTTAAAACCGTTTCAATGCTAAGAGTGTTTAGAATGTTTAAATGCTTAGAAGTAAGAATATAAGGACACTAAGATACGAAAGGTAAGAATCTAGAATTCAATCGTCGGTGCACATGGTCACATGGTTCAAATACCTTAACCTGCAACCGTGAGCTTCTTCTCACGGGAATCTGTATGTAATGTAACAAGGACTGAAATAGTTCACGTATCTCTAAATTCATTAATCATTAGTCCCAATCTCTCAATCATGTCACTTTTATTCATCATGCCAAACCCCAACTTATAGAATGTGACATTAGAAGCTTATATCGGAAGCGGAAGATATGCCCTTAGAATGCTAAAAATCTGGAAAAGCGCACCATTGATGATGATTTTAAAATTCTTAAAGCTTGAAAAGCATAGCAAATAAATAATCAAAAAATTGCCAAATTTAAAAATCACAAGAACGATAGAAAATCAAAAATAACGTCCAAAAGTTTCTTCCCACCTCGTCCAGTTCAGCGGACACTTGTTTGCTTCTCTTCGTCTCCATACATTCCATCTCCCTTTTCAACTCAGACACGTTTTGTTCCAGTTCAATGCTTCGTGCCAGAGCGGTGGAGACAGTTTCTTGCTGTTCCTTGTTTCGTTTTTCTGTGCTCGCCAGCTCCGCTCGCAGCTCCGCAAACTTGGTTTCTTTCTCTGATATCGCTTCGTCTATCTGCGAAATGAGTAAATGGGAATTATTTATTTTTCATTTGCAGTAATTCCATTTTTCATGAAGAAAAAATGAAAAAAAATGTGGCTTCGACTTCGAATTTTTAGATAAATCAAATTATCAAACCTGAGATTTGAATTTCTCAAACTCCGCCCGGGTCTCATCCCGGTCAGTTTCCATCTGTATAACCATGTCTGCCATCTCTGTCAACTTCCTCTTGCTCTCCTCGCTCAACCGTATATACTCCTCTGAGCCCATCGCCGGGCTCAGGCACTAAAGACATAGGATGTAATTCATTCAAATTATCATCATTCAAAAATTGAAATGTGATCAAATGAACGAGCATGAAACGTAGGTTAATTGGAGGCAGGTTTATGACCAATTTGAGAACATGTTGCATTGTTCAGAAATTCTCAAAGGATTTGATTCAAAATATTACCCCTTGCTGAAGAGAAATGAAGGGATAAGTTTGTAAGTTCTACACTTTTGTAATTAAGACGGACTGCTGGATATTGTATTTTTAAGACGTATTAGTAATTAAATTTAAAATCGGTAAGATTAGTTATAAGTTAATAAGTTAATACATACTTGTTTGATTCATTAATCACAAAAATAAAATTTCTTAACTCACATCCACAGCGACCGTAGCGACAGTATTCTGCTCCAAATTCTTGATGAGCATATCTTTATCTTCAAGAAGTTTTTCTAGAGCTGATATTTCTTTTTCTTTCTTGTTTGATATCATCTTCACAGCCTTTTCTTTTTCATCGTACCTAATAAAAGTTTGTTGGATCTTAACAATATTACACTAAGAGAGGCGCTAAATAGATAAAATTATCTACATTGGCGTGAAAACCGAGATATTCAAGAACGCGATCATCTTAAAAGATGAAATAGAACTTGGCAATCATTAACTTAATCAATTTTATTATTGAACAAACCAATTCCTGAGCTCAATATCCTTAGCGTCGATGGTGTCCTTGTGTTTTTTAAGTTCATCAGTCATCTTGCGCTGAGCTGCAGCTAGCTCAACCTTCACTGAGGAATAATGGAGTTTAGTTACCGGTAGTTGAATCTAAGATGGCAAGTACGTACGGTACAGGGCTTTAAGTACGTACGGTACAGCTACTTTTAAAGGTACGTACCGTACAGGCCCTATTATATACTATATATTTTTTTCCCAAAAAAGTCTGTACCCTATATTATAGGGTACAGACTTTTTTGGGAAAAAAATGAAACTTTTTTCGAAGTTAGTGGAGTACTTGCAATGTTCCTTTAGTATTATCATAATTTTATTTGAGGTAGTAGTCGAAGAGGAACATGAATTATTAAGATAGTAAATTAACAGTGAGAGATAAAAATTAACAGTGACAGATAAAATCAGTATCACATTTTAATGTGCTTATTGGAGTAAATAAACACTAGTTTTTCAGCAAGCTGAGGCTTCAGCCTCAGCCTTCTTTTATTCATATAATAAGATATTCATATAATAAGATATTCGTAGTCTCTAAAGTTTGTTTCACACATTAATGAGGATGCGCTAAAAATCGCGTAAACAACATCTGCCAACTTTTTCAACCAACATAATTCAAAGCGCCAAATCCAATGTCACATGGTCCAACCCTTCTTGCTTCTGGAACATTCTTGTACAACTGCTCTAAATCTAATGGTATAAATTGAAATGCAGCGATGAGCGAATTCAGCTTCAATGAAAGTTGTCGTGTGAACGTGGTTTTTGTGCATCTTTTTGCAATTGCAAGCATTAAGTACCTTTCAGCCCAAGTTTAAAAGTACGTACCGTACAGCTATTTTTAAAGGTACGTACCGTACGTACTTGCCATCTTAGAGTTGAATGTGATGCCCGGTTTGATTCATGTTATCAACTTTATATGAACTGCATGTGTATTGTATAATCTTATAATGAATTATGCCGGTAGCCTTACGGATGTAATCCGACCCCGAAGCGCCTAATACTGTTATATTGTTACAAAAAGGATGTGAATTGTAAACGCAGCCTACGGCGTGTTATTGTCATTACAAGAGTGATTCATTCCACTTGAGGGAATGCGATTCAGATAACGAGACATTTAAGATACAGTGTGATCGAGAGTTCATTACCAAACGCGACCCATTAATGACTCATTCACTGCGGGTTCTGCCTGCCACTTCTTCTTTTTCATTATTAAAAAAAAAAAAACATATCAAAAAATGTATACACTATACATTATACATGCAAGTATCAGTGTAGTGGTTAAGATTGCCAGTTGACTGACTTGTTAAAGTTTTGACTCTATTTGATACTAGCAATATATTTATGTAATTAAAATTAGGTGTAGATTTTTTTGAACATCGAGTAATGGTAAATATACTAAATAAGTAGTGGAAAATAATTTAGCGATTGAAAAATAAATAGCGTAAATAATTTTTCATTTGATCATCAACCTAATAAGGCGCTCATAACAAATACATTTGAGGTCTAACTACCATTGAAGAACAAAAATAACAGTTTTTCCCGATATTTTGTCGACGGGAACATTTTTCTGCATCATAGCGAAAGAACACAATTTTGGCTGCTGATTATAATAAGCATAATAAAAACAAGTTCCTATTAGTTGAATGTGATGTGCAATGTCCTGAGTGTAATAACATACTAACAAGTCAGTAGTCATTATAAATAATATTTAAATAAATTCTTAAGTTCTAATTAGATTAATCAAACCAAGCAAAGAGTTATCATCAATCGTCCAACCCCTTGTAGTGAGCTGTCCATCATCTAGTAGAGAGTCTTTGACTAGTGTAGGAACTCAAAGAGACACAGTAATCTCGATTCTTTTGTCTTCAGTAGTGTACGAGCACTGTGGTCCCGGGCTTACCTCCATTTTGGCGTTGCAAATGGAGTCACGACTGGCATAGGCGGAGTTAAACGTCGTTTAGCGGGCGCCCAACGATCCTCCCTCCCAAATTGCGTGTGCTCTAACATTTACTACACATTCTAACATTTACTACACATTCTAACATTTACTACACATTCTAACATTTACTACACATTCTAACATTTACTACACATTCTAACATTTACTACACATTCTAACATACATTATGCAATATTTAAAGCGGTCACTGGTGACACTTATCACATTGTGTAAACTGTAGACTCTTCTGTAGTTTTATTTGCTCCAGCAATTAAACTGTTAAAGTCCGTTTTGAGTAGTTTGTATGGTAACTGTACACTGTACACTGTACACTGTACACTGTACACTTTACACTGTACACTGTACACTGTACACTGTACACTTTACACTGTACACTGTACACTGTGTAATGTGTAATGTACACTGTGCAATGTACACTGTACAATGTACAATGTACACTGTACAGTGCAGTATATTCCAAATGTTACTATGTTGTTATTATGAATTCAATTCAGGCCACGAAAAGAAAGAAGAAACAACTTCGTTCCGTTTGAAAATATTAAGCTTCATTTTTAAGTTCTTGCTGTCGTTTTGATGCATTATTGTAAGCAGGATTCCTAGCAGGAACCCGTCAAACCTTTAAGACTGGTGTCAAGACTCTTTTGTGGCCGGATCAGTTTCCTACCCTAAAGTCTCCCAGTGAAAATAATTATTACCTATTTAATTCGCGTTTTTGACACCACTTGGGGGTCCAAATTTTGGGTACTAAAATTCTTATTCCTTGGCCAATTTTCGATTTTTTCATGCTGATTTGAAGGCCATTAAAGCATTTGAATCAGTTAAAAAAGTTTCAGTTTTATATCTTGTACGGTTTTTGCGGAAACCCGTGTTAAAGTTGATGCCGTGGTGTCAGTAAAATGGTGCGGATAAATAATTTATAAATATATATATATATATATATATCGTCTCGCTTTATATATAGTAAGATGATTGTAATTCCAGTCCCCAATCAACTGCAGTAACAAAAACTGCGATGAGAAACATTTTAAACAATACAACCCCTCAGCTCCAGTAGGAAGAAGAGTAAAAACTAGTTTATGACCTCAGAAACAACGGAAGGAAAAAGCTTTTGTTTCTGGGGAAGAAAGGTGCAGGCAAAACTGCCCTCTGTAATGCACTTTCAAAACCAATCGGAGACAAAACAAAAATTTTCCCCAAAAGTACTAATATTAACATCGGAAACACAGGAACTATTCTTTCAAACGCAAGTTATTTGGGTTTACCCGAAAAGAAAGCATCATTCATTGATACAGTGGGGTTCGATAGCACAGAAAAGAGCAACACTGAAATAGCACAATTTATAGTGAAACTGAAGGAGTGCTGTGATTTCATCAACGTTTTCGCAGTGGTCCTTAAATCTCCTTCACGGATAGCAAAATCCTTAGAGCACACAATTAACCTATGCGTAAACATGTTTGGGAAAGACCGATTCTGGGGAAATGTTGTTTTCATTATCTCAAGTCTTCGACAGTCGGATAAAGAAATTAAGTGGAGGAAGGAAAATACTATAGATGATGATAAGCTGACGGGTGATCTAAGTGATCAACTTAAAAAGATTTTTGAACTGGACACTAATCTCAATTTACCTTTTCTAATAATTGATGTACGAAATTCGAAACTACCGAAGATGAACAAAGGACCAGATTTGAGAAAAATATCACCACCCTATACAACATGCTGATCGACACTAACAGATTTGAAACCTCTGTTGATGGTATCATGAAGGTCATCGATAAATACGATGGTCTAAAGGAAGCAATATATAAAGCGGAAAAAGAAATCAAACAACTTCAAGATCAGGTGACAAACTTAACAGAAGACAAAGAACGTCAGGAAAAGATTATAAAAAGGACTGAGGAGGAAGCAGCGTGATAAAGAGAAAGTGAAAGAACCGCAAAGGAAGACGCTGCTTGTCTTCAAGCGAAGGTAGAAGATGCAAGAAGGAATAGAGACTTTGAGTTAGTCGACCGTCTACGCCCGCAAAAGGAGAGGTCTCTGCAGGACATTGTTATGTATCGTGAGCAAAGAGAAAGATCTGAGAAGGAAGGCGCTGATGCTAAGTGGAAATATAACTTACTTTGTGCTATTTTGGCAGTGCTTGCAGTAGGTGTAGCAGGATTAGCAGGTGCAACAATGGCTGGGACATTTGATGTTGAAAATTTAGTAACACAAGTTGCGCCTTACTTGATTCCAGTTATTGTTGAAATTTTCAAAAACAGTTTCCCCATGGGGAAACTGTTTTTCGGGCCCCAGTTTGGTTTGTAGGCTTCAAATCTTATTGGGTCAAATTACTGAAATCATTTTTTTCGTATGTAGCTGATACTAAGTTATTAGAGTATATTAACTAATTCTATTTTTTAAACAGCAGCATACTTTACCAGTTTTCAGTGATATAGACTCGTCACCATTCCGAATGATAGGCTAAAAAAATATTTCGCTTTAATTAATTTATTCAACTTTCATTTTCCATATCATAGAAATTCAGTATTCATTTGTCGACTTGAATCGATCTAAGTTAAAACTGAGTTTCTCTAATAACCCTTAACAGTTTAACATTAACAATCAAGTACCATCTATGATGATGTGATGTGTTCGGTGATTGAATTCAAATGAAAATTGTGTCATTGTGTCAAACAAAGATTTAACATAAGAGCTCAACATTTCTCCAGTCAATTAATTACAATCAACAAGTTTTAAGAAAATTCCTGAATATTATGATTCATGAAAAAGGATTCGGCCATTGGACTGAAATGGAAAATTGTTTTCCATCTGTCTATATCGCTATTCGCTCATTGTTGTTTTGTGTATGATATAACTTAGAGGGTTGAGGTCCAACTATGAACTATCGATGAACAACTGCAATGTATCCCTCAAATTCGCATTATATAAAGATCACAAAGTTTTGTTTCTCAAAATTCTCGCGAATTCGAAAATTTCAAACCAACTAAACAAAGGAATTGAAGGTTCGGCAAGAGAAAAGAATAACACAAATATTTCAACGTACGTCGTATAAGGTTCCTTTTGTTAATGTTTGACTGACTATATTTCAGCAGCTATATCTAAATA